AATGCGATATTGTTGATCAATATAATGAATAAATTAATAGTTAAATTTTAAATTTGTTGCTAAATATCATATCTCATAACTTATACTCTGACAGATACATTTCAAATAGTTTGGTATAATGATCTTCATAATAGTAAAATTTTAATTGTTACAATTGAAGTCCTGAAATGTATTATTACGCTATTATATTGTTGAAAACAAAGCAATAATTTAACCCCGTTAAGGATTATTAAAGGAAACTAATGCTTCCAAGACGTAACTATTACATTTATTTCAAATTTGAGAAAGAGCGTTAAAATGAGTGTCATACAACTATTTGTTAGTTCCTACAATAAGTTTGAGTAGATTAAGCGTTTGTATAACAGAAAGTTATAAATCTAAAGACCTCGTACCTAATAATTAACTTATGTTATATAAAGAATTGTGTGTTTCTAGTTGACAAAGTTTCCGTTTATGAACCGTTATTTTATTTAACATTTGTGAAGTTCTTTAAATGATACTTTACCTCGTATATTTTATAGATTTTCTAAACACCACCTGTCTCTTCGTTCTATTAATTTTTATTAATAAGATGAGACTTTATAGAGACGACATGAGATTTTGTTTTAATTTTAGATAGTTCCAAGATAAAGCTTAGCATCAGCATAGTATGTAATTAGAGCTCGCTTTAACTATTATTATATAATACATAACACCGTTCACACAATTATCACACAGTAATCTCGTTGCTTAATGTAAACTGGCGTGTTATACGTTGAAAGTCGTAATGACACTAGCCCTTTTAAATACAGTTATGCTTCTACCTTTTTTACATGTGCCCATAAACCACGTAACACACATTATTCTAGAAAAAAAGTTTTCTCATTGAAAGGAATTATTTTTATAAATATTTTACTACTTTATTGACTTCAAAAGTACAATTATTTCGGACAACTTCGTTGTAAGTATTGAACGCAGTTGCAATATGCACTTAGTATTATGAAATAATTTAAAAATTTCAATCGATATCCATTAGCTTCTTTTATTTATGCGTAATGCTACATTATGTGGGTAACCTAGATATATCGCGTATACCAAGCAATCTCGTGAAGGTACAATCTGCCACTCTAAACGATTGCACCGTTGCATTCAACTACATATTTACATTCCAACTAAAATGTATACAACTTGGGGAATGGATCTTAGGTATTTTATACATAAATATAAAAACCATAGTAAAATACTGTTTAAACATCGTGTAACGCAAAGATTTAAAAAGTGATAAGATAGCATTTGTGTAATTACACACTACCTCCATTATATTATAAGCCATATAAAAACATCAACTCCAGAAACTCCTATTGTTATGGCTACATAGACGATTGTTCTTAATTCCTTAAAAGCCCTTTGTTTTCTGTTGAGTTACCTCGTATTTAGATAATATAGTTGTGAGGTCAGTGCCGCCGGTGAATAATAAACTTTAGTGATTGATAATGTTGATAGCTGAAGATAACGGTAACTGCATTGTGGTAAGTAAATGCTTCAACCGCTATTTCCACTCACCGGATCCAGAACATATTTTCAAAGAAGTCCTCTTCAAGGCCTATCGTAATGACAATATACCCATGTTATCTTAATATATATATTTCTTGTGTGCGTGTGTATGTGACTGAACTTCTCTCAAACGACTGGACCGATTTTGATGAAATTTTTTGTGTGTGTTCAATGGGAATGGTTTAGATTCACAAATCAGCCCGGCAGATGGCACTGCAGTCGGTACTTTCATACTTTGCTTAATATCCTAATCGCTTTAAATATCATGCAGGACAACGTCTGTGGGGTCCACTAGTAGCTATATAAAATGCAATTTTTTTGGCAAAATTTTATATTGCGTTAACCACAACTTACTTTTTGTCAACTTAAAATAACGTCCTATCGCCGGTGTTGAACCTTTTAATGTTAAATTTATGGAACAAAAACATATTCAATATGAAGTATGAATTCATTCAGTATTACTCTCTCACATATAATATAATAACGGGTAAATAAGTAGGAAGAATGTTGGATTACATTAAGCGAAATGTATAAAACAGGCATATCCGTCTTTAAGATAACACTATTGTTCCTCTATGAAATATACTATCAGGGGCAGTAGGCTTTAAAAGTCAATTTGCATATCTGCATAGTTTCGTAATTACACTTTCCATGGAAGAATGAGTTAATAGTTTAAACAGCTCGGCTTAGTGGCGAATAGTAATTAGTTGCGTGACTTTCTCCGGTCGATGTCAATCATATCCAATTGATTATATCACTGCTTGTGGATATCCGGAATTTTTTGCCCATTAATAGATTTTATAAAATTGTAATTGTTTTATATAACCTTACCTAACGTAACATTTGTTATTTTAATACAAAACTGAGTTTTGATAAACGTACCCAGAGTCGTTCTTAATAAGTAATGAAAGACTAATGTAATGACCTACGATTCATTAAATTTGGCATTCATTTATCGTTTATAAATTTTGATTTGATTTAATATGAATGAAATCAAAAATTCTTCATATTCATTAATTATTGACGATTTGTGAAAATTTTAAGGATTTTTTCGTTATTTTATAGTATGAATATTAGCGACAAGACTAAAAGTTATAAATTTATGAAAAATGTAAATGTCTGGAGAATGGATAGCTTAGAAGCTTGTTTATTTATATTAGCTAGGTATTTTGTTTATATTTGATTTGTAATTGGCACACGTTCAGAACCTTGAATTAAATCGTTGATCATTTGCGTAATCGACTTATAAATGCCGACGTGTCTAATTACTCCGCCCTTTCGTTTTGCATTACTTTCCAATTTACTGTCATTTACATGTTTTGTTGCTACATTTAAAATCCTACGTTCTTCCTTGCGTAATTTTACGTTTGAGTTCTTTTCGAAACGTAAAATTATGTGTTTAATTATTATACTTATCAACAGTAGCACTACTTTTATAAAGAGGTATCAATCAAATACACTTTGTTAATTGCCTAAGTTCTAAAGATACAAAAATTGATAGGTTCATTTATTTTTTCATTTAACCTTCATTTTCTACCCATCTTAATAAAGCATTGTAAAAATAGTGTAAAATATACAGATATCTATATTATAACATATCTGCCTTATGTAAAGCTTGATTTAATTACTCGTTTACACCTCTTAAAAGCAAACAATATAATACCTACGACATATGTAGAGCACGAGTTGGCCTTCGATTAAAATTAAACGAATATTTCATTTGATTTAAATAATCCATAAATGGCAACATACAAATTGCCGCATTTTGCTCAACATATTAAATGCAGTTACTTAGTTTAAGCAATATTATCTCGATGAAGGCTCGATCTGCGCGTTTTCTGGCCCTTTAGCCGACTCCTGTCTTCATGTCACATTTACCGAGCAAAGATAGCTGTAATCCTCATAATTATTGCATAAAATTACTTGTATTGATCGCAATGTCTTAGTAGCGTCTAAAATGTCAGATCAAAAAATAAGTAATGTCTCCTTGAAACAATATAAATCATCTCATAACATACAATGCCTATACCATTCTCAAAACAGTAGAAAAACATATTAGTTCAACGCAAACCTCCTTTGTGAACTTATCCATTATTGAAGAAAGTTTCGTGCAATAGATGCTCGTTGTACATTACAAAATGACAAGGCACTCTTAAGATACAATATTAAAAGGCCCTGAGCCAAATTCCCGTCGTTAGCGACTAGTGAGTGCCATCGTCGACTTTAAACGCCTACCACGACGCGATCAAGATCTGCCCCACACAGGACAACTTGGTACAATAAACCAGTCCTCTACTAAAATGCTCGTTGCATAAGAAATCCCAGTGGCATTTCATAACAGAAAGTCGAACGGTCATTGTTGAAGCAGGTATTAGTGACATTAGCAAGGAATATAAGCAAACATTACGGGTCTAGAAGCACTGTTATGTTTTAAAATTAAAAAGTAAGTATATGCTCATGTATGGTTACATAACGTGGGAAGTTTCAGATGTTAAGTATAAAACCAAAATTCTTAACGTAGGAGGCATATCTGCGTCTATGATTACGCTCTACAGTCTATTTAATATTTCTAGCAATTTCGAAGTCAGATTTCAAAATGAGTTCTAAATAATGATCAAACACCGGGTTAGTACATAATATCTTAGAAGAAATTTGCAAAATGCGTATTATAATTGCTTTACGACTGGCCGGTCGATTTAATAAAATGAATGCTTTAATTCTGCTCTAGTTTTGCAGACAGCACCCATAATTTTAAGGTAGATTTGCGTAACGTAAAGCAGGTTGTACCTCCTACCAGCGCAATTGCAACTATAACATAAACAGGTGACAAAATTAAATTGAGAGAACAGCAGTTTCGTACAACTACGCAACTATGATTTTACGTTTATAATGATATTGTACAACAACGTTCAAATCTATTTCGATTATGCATTTCAAGTATAAGATAAAATCAATTTATATTATGTAAATTAATGATTTATTAAATTATTTGTGTTAATAATTTTTTCGTGTTTCCTGACCATAGCGAGATGTAAACTAATTTCTCACTACTATAACACTCACCCTATTTTCACACAAATGTTTTAATTTTATCATATTAAAAACTCCTACTTGACTTTAAAAACCACAGTGCGTAAAAATGTAACGTCTCGACTCGTCTGCGACAATGATTATCAATTCTTATAAAACCATACTATCAATTATGTTAATATACCTATAAAGATATATTTTTTGAATCACTGTTGATCATGAGTCTGATAATAGCAACATTTATACAATACGGCCATAAATGTTTTCATAAAAAAAAATTCTTTCGACATCAATAAATTTGCGAGGATGATAAAATAATATAGATTTTTATTTGTTTCAGAGAGCAGTATATCTTCAATATATTTGAGGTTATAGTGAGTACCTTAGAGACAAAACTTCAAAGAATAGAAAATTTGGATAAAGCCGTTGAACATCTTATGAGAAGAGTAGAGGCTTTAGATTCGCGAGTTAACGATAACATTCTTAAAACTGACGCAATTATATCTAAATTAGGAAACCTAGACTTCAAGTTGTTTAGCAGAATTAGACAAGATGAAGAAGAAATTGTGACTGAAAATGTTCACAAAAAACATAATGATAATAGAATTAGCAACTCTCAATTACTTGATAAAAAACTAGAATCTTTAGATCAAAAAGTATCTGACATTGACTCTAAACTAGTAGGCCTTAAAACGCAAATTGATAATAACTTTTTACCCGTTGATGATATTAACGCTGAAGCAAGTGAAAAAAAACCTATCAACCTTAACGTTATCGAAATAGCGAAGGGTTTAAATACAGAGGTCATAAATGAAATAACGAAAGAAGTAGATCAATTAAGAACATCAATGACGACAGTTGATAGGAAATTGCAATTCCATATTAACCTTGTTTCAGAAAATCTAGGAAAGGTCTTATATATGATGGCAGATGTTCACGCCGCAATAGTAGAACCCGAATCAGCATCAATTAATGTCAATAGCATTTTTAAAAACCGTAATGCCACAAGTACACCTTCGCCAATTTCTAAAACTAATAAAATAGATACATTGGTCAACAAAATTATACCCATGATGAGCGTATCAGAGAAAATGGATGAGGTGTGGGATGTGGTAGTTGGCACAAAAAGTTCTGTAGATGATTTAGTGCCAAAGTCAGATGAACTACTGACTCAAACACAAAGACAAGAGCGAGCTATTGGTCAGATTCATAATGATTTACGTTTAAAAACAAATCTCATTATTGAAAATCTAGATATGGTTGAGAAACGATTAAAAAAGCAGGAAGATGATGTAGCAACCCTCGCACAACGACCAGTGCCGGCGGAATTATTACTAGACCCGACTATAGATCGACTAGTAGAATATGCACCCAACAGATATAGAGTAGACGAGCCTTCAACAGATCCCAGCACAAGTACAGCTGCCTTTACTACGCCATCCATTTCAACAGCTAATAATAGGTGAAACCACTTTCTTTTTTTGCAACAAGCGAATAGTTCCTAAAAATGCGATTGCAATTGCGAATTTTGTTTGCGAAATTTTAGCTTAGAATAAGTTATTTTTTATAAGGTTTCAATAGTTTCATCTTACATAATTATGGTGTCACGTACAGCCCGAGCAGTCCCAGTAACTCAAGCACAAGTTCAAGCAGCGCAACGGCAACGGTGACCCCCGCCAGCACTGGACCAACGAGCCCTCGTCCCACCAGCCGTAAAGGCGGCATCATCTTTCCAAGCGTGAAAAACAAACCAATTATTGGCAACAACACATTCGCTTCGGAAATTGTCGCCAACTATAAGGATGTTAAAGTGAGTCAAATGTTTTTGAAGATAGCCCTTCATATTTACACTGGCTTAAAGGCGTACCTAACCTTCATCATAAAAACAGTCTTACTTTAACAAAATGTATATATTTAAGTACAGCGTAATCCATTTCATAATTGAAACATTTTTTGTGGAAATATGATATATATACCTGAAATTGTTAAATGTAATTAATATTTTACCAAATTATCAATTAATTAAAACAGGTTAAAACCAAAATTCTACAGATGGTATTTTAATAAGTTCGTTTCCAACCTGACTGCATTTGCGGCCGTAATGTGGCTAAGTACTCAGAAATACATAAGTTATCAACCAGCTACCTGCTCTCATACCTTTTACGTCTTACGCTTGAGCAATAGGGAACCAGTAATAGTCTACATTAAATATATTGGCCAATAATTTTCCATAATTCAATTCAGACTCTGTTATTTATTCCTGTTGGGAACACATACATTTGGTTTAATTATATAACTGTTTTTTAACATTGTCATGATTACTATAGAAATTTCTAGAGTGATTGAGAGCGAGAATGATTCTTTGAGCAGAGTAAAACTTAAGGTAGAGCCAAAATGGTTTTGTTTTCATTCTTTACCCAAATCGTCAATTTTTTTCTTGCAATACTACTTATTGAAATATATAGATATTTTATTACCGATGTGTGCGATCATAAATATTTTATATTACAATAATTATTTATTACACACATGTAAGTATAAAGCGATTTATATTCTTACTCCCTAAGGCTTTGCGGCTTGCGCAAGACATATCGTACTGCATATTTTACGCTATGCGAAACTATGTTATCGTTATATCGAATTCCACTATAAATTCGATTTATTACGGTGACAATAAAATTAATTCTTTACAGGGTTATTCCTGTGTGGACCTGCTGAATGCTGGCATGCGAGATTCTGGCGTGTACTATCTTCAGATTCGTGGTACAACGTATTGGTTCCTCAAGGTCTTTTGTGAACAAGCTATAGCTGATGGTGGCTGGACTGTAAGTGTAATACGATTAACTTTCCATTTCTTCGCAACCTATCAAAGGATTGAGGCTATGGTCAGAATAGCCACCGCGTTGGTGCAACAACATACAAACTACATACAACTTAATCAACTTCTATAAATTGACAGTTTACTTCCGTGTCAAATTTAAGTACTCATACCCTATTAAAAAAAAGCTATAAAGGTTTATACAATTTTACAAATCTTGGAGTAAATACTATACCAAAATTATTATTTAAAAATTACTAATTTATATTTAAGGTTATTCACCGTCGTGATGATTTCGGTACACCTGCTGAAAATTTCAACAGAGATTGGAGTGATTATAAAAATGGTTTCGGTGATACCAGCAAGGAATTTTGGCTTGGAAATGAAAACATATATATGCTCACTAATAACGATGATTACATGCTTCGCGTAGAACTGGAAGATTTTGATGGTAACAAGAGGTAAAATTTTTCGAATTCCTTATACACACATGTATAGTCGCTTTAACTATGAAAAGTCAATGTAAATATCAAATATATTAGTCACTAGCGGACCCGACAGACGTTGTCCTGTCTTAACTATGAAAATTGATTTCGAATTGGTATAATTAACTAAATATAAAAAATATTTCAGAAACAAAGGATTTATTATTCTAATGCTTTATGATATACAACATTCTTTATGATATACAAACTATTGTATTCTTCTCTATAACCAAGTATACCAAGTGTTATGTTTGTAACGTGTAGTGTCTATCCAAACTTACCAAAACTCCATATTAAATTGAACTTTTATTATTTGGCGTGATAGCTCTGAACTTACGGTGATGTGCAGTAAGAAATTAATTTATTGTTAAAAATCATAGATTAATTTTTTTATATGTATTTTATCAATATCTCTGACCAAATCATTTGTTTTAAATGATATTAATTTTTCTTACATCCTCTTTAACGATATTTGCAGCACGCACTCTGTCAAAGGTTGCATCAAAAAAGTTTGAATTGTAAAAGCGCTATGCACTGAAGAAAAAATTTGCTATCGTAACAAAAGTCAGGATTACTTAATATGGTGGTTAAGTATTCTTAAATTTTCTAATTTTCCGCGCAATTTACTTAATTTTTTCTTTTATAAGAACCTTCTCCTGACAATAATAAATACAATAAAAAAATAATTAGCGAAATCGGTCCAACCGTTCGCGCGTGATGCCGTGACCAAGGGAAATAGGGATTAATTTTTATATAGGAGTATATAGTATAAATATAAGAAGCCATGTGCTCTAATAATTTGTTTTAAACTTTCAGATATGCACAGTATTCGCACTTCAAAATATATTCTGAAGCGGAATACTACAAGCTTGAGATAGATGGATATGAGGGGAACGCCGGAGATTCCCTTAATGACCCCTGGTACGGATCCAATAATAGCCCCTTCTCAACTTACAACAGGTAAGAATCTGGCTCTACCCAAATGTCTAAGATTAAAATAAAAACTTTGAATAACGGTGTACATTAGTACTACAAAAATCTAAAGGACTTTTCCATCTCCCATCTTTTTTATTTACCTATTCATAAAATAACAAAAAATAATTATTACAACAATTAATGACATCGCGCAGAGACCGGCATGTCCAACCCTCAGACTCGGAACCAAAACCGATTTATGTCATGCACAGAAAGCTAAATCATGTATCTTTTATATTAAAATAAGTATATACGGAAAAATAACCTCGCTTATTAATTACAGGGATAATGACAGATCGTCATTAAACTGCGCTTCAATGCTGAAAGGTGGTTGGTGGTGGAAATCATGTGGTCGCGGATTGAATGGATTGTACCTTCATGATCCGCAAGATCTTACAGCTAGGCAAGGTAGGTACAAAAATGTACAATATCGGAGCCCGACTACACTTTTTGGGTACTGAGCAACATAAGATAACTTAAGAGGGCATCAAAGTCTATAAATCTTCAAAATATAATTAACAAACGTACGCACATGGCGTACAGGCGTACATGACTTATAAACCTGAAATTGATAGTTAAATAATGTTTTGTCACGGTACTTATGTTTAAAATTAAATGAGGATGATAAGAAGATATCTCTAAATTGCTATTTGAGGCAGATTATAAATAATGCCGTTAATGAAAAATACGATTGTGTGGACAATCATTATAGCGAATCAGCATTATTAATAAATGAAAAGATATATAATTATAGATAAAATTATAATAAAAACAAAAATTTCAGGTATTGTATGGTTCCGTTGGAGAGGCTGGGATTACACGCTTAAAAAAGCTTCTATGATGATCAAGCCCAAAGGTATTCAACCGGCAACGTGAACACTCACTCATTCCCGAACTATTTTCGTTTCTTATTAGCCTGTTATCTGTATTTGTGTGGTACCAATCAATACTCGAGAATATCAGAGTAACACTCTTTATCATTTAATAACTTAAAACATATACTATGAGACAATCCGGAAATCTTAAATAGAACTTATATTGTCTAAATGTATTTCTATAATAAACAAAATAAAAGTAAAAAGATATGCAATATTAAGGCCAGTATATTCGATCACTCAGCACTAAAGCCTCGTTGAGCAATTTATTCTTAATTTGGCAGATACAACTTTTGAATTTGACCCTTTTTTTTAAACAAATGTTTACTAAATTTCATGAAAGAAGTTTTATATTTTTTATGATTGAGTCTATTGGTTATATTGGTCATAGAAGGTGTGATCATTGTCAAAAAACATCTATTTTGAATATCCTGCCCTTAAAATCGCCTGGTATAATAATATTAAGCACAAAAATGTGTTGCTAAAATGTTTAAGATATTCTAAGTATTTTAAAAATTGGTCCACATAATGAACCTAGAGGGCTTGAATGAATGATTCTCAAATAATAAGACGATGAATATAGAGCTCCATGTAAATAATATTTAAATCCTCACAAAATTGTCATTCGCCATTATATAACTTATCTTTGTAAATACCTGAAAACAGAATGCGCCACTGGGCCCACACAACTTGTACTATTCATTAATTTATTATTCATAAATTGAGACATTTTTCATAAATTAGAATTATGTTAGTTATAAGAAATTGTTTTAAGATGTACATAACTGTAAATTTATTATACTTATGAATAAAATAATATAAACAAAAATGCGTGCCCTTTATATTTTATCCATTATATCACTTATATAATAATAATAAAAATTTATTTGCAACAATATGATACAAAAATCTTATGGTTGTACAATCTAAACTCCGCATATTCTGCCACATATAATGGCGTGCAAATCTTATTCTTCTATCTTACATATTTAAAAATTTGAATTTTACGTAGTAGTTATATATTACAATCAAACCTTATGTGATTTTATAATCACATTATTTATTTTTTATATCCGCACAATCAGCCATATATAAATAGGCATGCAAATGTTATAAATTTTTTGCAATGTCATATAATAAAAACATTAACATAATGATAATAAGAAGTTAAGTCATTTATAATTGTTAAACTTATGGTCTAAATACTCGGTCACGCTATGAAAGCACCTTGACTATTGTGATAGGTTGTGATATAACTATATCAAGTTTCTATATCTAAATCAGGGATCCCGCTCTATCATCTCTAGAAGCCATGCCATGCCCTTTTATTTGCTTCAGCAATCGCAATTCGTAGCGCCTGTTTAGCCTCTCGGAATGCACAGTGGGTTCGCCTTTCCTCGTCGGCACATAGGGGACGCCGTCTGCGAGGCCTAGTGAAGAGGCGACGGGTAATAACGCAGACAGCCCGTAGCTGGGCGAGCTCCACCGACCACCAGAATACACTTTGTCGGCGACGTCCAGGGCGGCTTCTTTGCATGGCGGCGACGGATATGCACGTCAGAGCGTCATGAAATCACATTGCCTCGTTCTCGGTATTTATAGGTTCTGCATAGGGGCCGCCAAGTCGAAACAGCTTCTAAGGGCCCAGGGTGGGCCCAGTTTTAACAAACTCGGGCTGATTTCCGAATACGATTACGGGGTGAGAGTACGGAACCGGATATAACGGTGATCTGATAGGGTCGCAACCCCCGTTAGGACTTCCCAGCCCTGAACCCAGCGGAACAAATGTTGACTTACGAATGTTACATCTACGATCGATTCTCCGTTCGCTCGCACGCATGTACCTTCGGAGGCTCTGTTTGCAACTAACAGATTGTGCCCAGCAGCCCATTTCTAGCGTGTCCCCCTGCTGCTTGGTCACTGAGTCAAATGAGTTTGATTCCATGGAAGATGGGTTGGGTGCTGGTATGAGATGCAACCTGTTCAGACACACTGGCCCCTTCCCATTTTTATGGAACCAACAACAGAGCTGGTGGCCGGGGGTCTAGGATACGAATATGATTTTGCTCCATTCGGTGTCGAGGACCTTGGTCCGTTTGCATTGTAGGCGTTTTTAGACCCCCCATGTCTATATTAATAATAAAAAAAATATAGGCTTCTGAGACTTATTTTAAAGTTTGTTTGCTCAGGTAGAAAATAGGTAGTAAATATGTTTAAAAACGCTATCACTCAAAGATTCTTAGAACCCAATTAAATGATAGTGCTCAGCCAACCTGACGTCAGAATGGCTGGCTACTTAATTTCTTTATTATGTTCTTTAATGCAGAGGTAGCAAATGCGCCTTTAAAGGTAGCAAATAGTATCTAATAGGTAGAGAAATATGGCGTATAGTTTGATTGCGATATCAAATTTGGTCAGCCAACCTGACGGTCACTTTTAATACTGATTAATGATTATAGTAGTTGTAATAAGTTTTTCACTAATCACACACGATTTTAAAGTCACACTCTTATGATTTTACATTAGTTTGATATATAATACAAGTTTATTGTACGTAGGTATATGAATGGGAGATTGCTTGTGATAAGAGTATGCCAAGTAGAGTAACCATTATCTTTTGTTTCACTTAAATGCTAAAAAATGCTTTTTCTAATGTTTATAATGTAAATTTTATTGATTTTTGCAAAGTAGTTCACCACAAACTACACACTTTATGTTAATATTACTCAGAGTTAATATTTTTAAACTAATATAGCCATCACGCAGCCGCACGTTTTAAACTTTATCGACGAATGTTTCTGACATTGGCTTGTGGAAATCATCAGATTATATATTTTTCATCATCCTTGAATTATTTCCTTCAAAATAAAAAAAAATCAGCCACGCTCGAGAATGTCGAGATGACGTTTTTTTTTACAATTTTGCAGCCCTCCCCTTTTTTTACGTTACATGCAAATTGTCAGATTAGCGTAATCTAACTTAGCCTACCTTAATCTGATGTGCTGGAGAAAGTCTGATCATTAACTTTTTTTACTAATCTGATCCTTTATCCTTGACGGGCGGCCATATATATGGAGCTCATATTTGGTAGAGGTACTTAACCGGGTACAAAGTATCTCTCTGTATATTAATCTGCCACGCTGGAGTAAATCCCGAAATCCCCTCTTGGGCTCCCTAGCTACTAGGAATGTTTAGGAAACTCTTTAAACGTTTCGTTCAGTCACTTGTCTGACGGAACTTTAGCGACTTGATTGAATATCGATCTTTAATTAAATATCTAGAGATTCAATGATGGTCGTTACTCGTTATTGTAAAGACGCTACTCGCTTATTATTGAAAGTCCGTTCCAATTATTTTATACTTTACAATAAAATAAAACAACAAAAATGCGAGGCTAAAAGGCTACCTTATTGATTAGTGGAGATCTTAAGGTTTGGTCAAACAGCGGGCGAGGCGGGACGGCGACGGGGCGCCGACGGGACGTGAACAGTTGTAATGTACTAATTAATATAGGACATATCACACAGAGCCGCCGCGCCCGGCGCGACGCCAACGGTCGAGTCCCGTCGCCGCCCCGCCCGACGGTAATACAACTAAAGTACGGCGGGACGGGGTGCGAAGGGAGCGTGAGCGCGACGCAACTCGTTGTGTTATATGGGTATTCGTTGTAGTAGTCAAACAGACAGCGGGACGCGACGCGTCGCGACGTTGAAAAACTCATCGAAAGTTTTTAAATAATCAAAATAAATAATAAATCAATCAATAGTAATAATATAATAATCACAATATATCTAATTTGATATCCCACAGAAATCCCCTGCCTGATGCCTTCAAATGCAAAAAATAATAATTCTTGTGTAGTGTTATTACTGAATTTTCATGTAATTTTAGAATTTGTATTTAATTAAAATCACATAGTTCTTTGACAGCTGAAACGAACATACAATTAGTAAGGTTAACCACACGGATCCTATTCTGTTCGATGTGTTCGTACTTCAATTTAGTTCCAAAATCAGGAACGTGATATACAATAGCAAAAAAAACTGTAATGGACGTGTTTTTTAAATTTCCTCTAAAAAAAACCCCCAAATATTATTTCCCCCTATTCTGCCCCTAACTCGGTTGAGAAACCTCTAAATCTGGCAACACTGAAATCACGCCGAGTGTAGCGGGTCGGTCGACGCGACGCTTGCAGGATCATCACGTCCGCAGTGTGACATCCACGCCGCATCGCCGTCCCGCCAGCGTCGCGTTGTCGTCCCGCCCCGTCCGCTGTCTGACCAAACCATTAAATCTTAATGATTTATTAATATTTTTACATTTCAAGTTATGATGTCTATAGTTCAACTAGCAAAGTGTATGGTTACAATAATAGTGTTGTATTACAATTTAATAATATAACGTTTCTAGTATGTGTTAAAATATAGGAAGCGTGTAAAGAATAAGAGGGGAGGTCGTTTTTCAAGTTATGTGAAAGTCTTTTACTATTGATACTTAAAATTACTATTGACTAGCATTTCATGAAAAACTAAAACTATAAAACACAACTTTATTTGGAATAATCAAAATCAGAATCCAAAAAATCAATAGATTCATCAGAGTCATTGCTGTTATCACTGTCTCTCACATTGATTATGAAACTTTCTACATGTTTCTCTGTAGTCCTGTCCCTTTCTTTATATTTATTTTCCACATGTAAAACATGATCAGTCATTTTCTTCCACTCTTCTGCTGTTACATTTTCAAATGACTGTTTAATCACTTGTTCTAACTGCTCTGTAGTCAATTTAATATTTTTATTTGCTACTCTGCGTTTTCTCATGACCATTGTGCTTTAAAATTTCATCGGCTTCATAATATATTGGCTCTGGTTTATACCGTTTTACTAGACATAGCAGTTCTGCTTTCGTATGGTACCCTTCAAATTGAATATTATTCAAAGTAAGCCATTCTCTTATCTCATGTTTGCGATTCTGTGTCGTAGGGGCTTTATTTACTATAACGGAATGGTAACTGGCGTTGTCCATAACAATTACACTTGGCTCATTTAAATTGGGTAGGACCTTAGGGTCGGACCGTAGGATTTTGGATAATTTTATAGAGATAGCACCGTCTCATATATACATACATATTTATTTTTAATATCTGTATCTGTGTGAAGATGCCATAAGGAGCATGGTGTAGACAGTATATGTTTGCAGTATATTACTAACAAAAACTTTGATATAATTGAGTGGTGAAGAGCTTATATGTACTAGTAATGCTAGCTAGTTCTTCTCGACCTTTCTACCCTTCTTTATAAGTATTTAGTATCCTGAAAGTGGTAAAAAATTAAATTAGGAAGTATTTAATATTATTTGATGTTCATAATTTATTAATACATGATCAAACGTTCATAAGTATACAGAGTGTTACCTACATCAATAAATATTCAGATTTTTTAAATCCTCGCAACTGGCAGCACTAGCTGTCGGTATCTTTGATCCGATTGGCCTAAAGGTCTAGATACCAGCCCATAAACTCCAAAAAAAAAAACTTCAATCCGCCATCTTGTTGTGAGTCGTGAGCTTAAGCTGTTTGCGTCCTTTTATTATGTATATTGTGCGTGTGAATATTTAAAATATAAATTGGTGATTTTGTCATAAGCGGACAGGTACGCATTAACTTTTTTCTTGTCTTCATTATTAATTGCAATACCTTAAGTACTTATTTATTTTCAGCCTGACAAAGTTATATGATGTGTAAATCTCTCGGTTATAGTAGTTAAATGTTTATTGTTTACCATTATATTTTTCATGTCATATAATAGTGTAGTATAAACTACTTATACTACTATATACAGAAAACCGTAAACTTTCTTGACATCTTTGTTCAACGTTGTTGTACAAAATATAAAAGCTTGAATATGTGAAAGTGATTTTATGTATTAGGTAGTACATAAAACTATTACTTGGCATAATTTTTAGAACATTGTATGTAAAAATTCATAGCCGGTATTTTTAAAACATTGCAATTTTAACATATAGTCAAACTATATTTAAACCTTTTCTACTTTTTCGATTGCTCTAAATGTGCAGCATTAGAGAATATTATGTTTGTAGTCTGTAAAACTACTACAAGAATTAATTTTTAGGGTGTTACATATTTTCACCATAATTTTCAGTACTATATATTATATAGTATAGATAAAGAATATGGAAATCATATTTGTAGTAGTCTTTATTTATTTGTGTATACTTATTAATGGTTAAATATGCTATTTCTACACAGTAAATGAACAGCAACAGCAACAAACACGATGGCTCTCAGTCAGCCAGATCTTCACATGCAACACCAGCTACTAATGGCACAAGAAATATTACCAATAATAAAAAACCAGATACATGTAGAGATTACATGTGGGGAAAATGTACTAAAGGTAGTTCCTGTAGATTTAGACATGAATTGGATTTTGAGAAAATAAAAAAAACTGTCAAGTTCTGTCATGACTATCAAAACAGAGCACCATGCACCAGGGAAGTTTGTACATTTATCCATGCAACAAAGGACGAAGAGACATTATTTTTAACTACGGGTAAACTGCCTAAAGTTCTAGCAGAGAGACATGCTAATATGTCTTCGGCTGAAACAATACCACAGATTGCTATGTATATCCAAGAGTCTTTAGGCGGACTACCACCGCCACCACCACCCCCACAACCAGAACCACAGCCATCTTCTTCTGTTAATGGACCCCAACTAACGTATAATATGGGACAAATGGCTCCACCAATGCAGCCAGGAATGGGTATGGGGTCTATGCACATCGGACCGATAAATATGGGGCCAATACCACCACAAATGATGTCAATGCCGGGACCTTCTATGGTTGCTCCACCGCCTCCATCAATTCCAATGCAACATTTACCTCCTCCTCCACCTCCACCCCCAACTCAGAGCCCTACAAGCTCTTCACTGTCGACACCTCCAGTATATACAGGTATATATATATTATTTTAAGTATATATTCTATTTTAATAATATAATTATTATTGATTACCTTAATGTAGAATACAGTAACATTGGAGATTTAAAATTTTTTATTGTTTTAGCACCTCCGCCAACAACTATGAGGGTTTCGCTAAATCAACAGCTACCGCGATCTGCGACTCCAAAGTATGATACTTATGTGAAATATTAGTAATACTACCGCAATGCATTTTCTTTGTAACAAAAAATTTACTTTTTAGACTAAATATGGACAGGTTTGATCCAAGTAAGCCACCTCCACCCTTCATACCAAATACAAGTTTAAAGCGTCCTTCCGTTAGTGATAATATGAAAGGTAAGATATTTCATGCTTTTTGTACTGTTAAACATGCGAACACAAGCATAGCGAGTTCTATTACTAAAAATAACATAGACAAAAGGCTAAAAGTAAAAAATTGCTTACTTGGAATCTCTTTTTTACCTCAAATAAAATATGTCGTGCTTTCGTGATTCATAACTAAATTGTAAATTCATTCTTCACTACTACTACTATTATGTCATTTATGTCGTGCAATTTAATAGCAAGAGCTTTGCGATAATTGACTTTGTTCTCAGCCGGTCCCAGCAAAATCAGAAAGGAAGAGGAAGCCTTAGTCGAAGACGTGGCGTGCGATCCGTGTCGTCAGCGACAAATAAGGTTTGAATGATATGCAAAAGCAAATGCTTTGCGAATCCTTAGATCTTTTAATAAAATTCATAATGACACAGGTCTGCGATGGTGGTTATTTCACTTGAAAGCACTGATTTGCAAAATTGCTAAAATTTTATAGCTACTTATTAAATTGTTTATATATTTTATTAATGTATGCAAAACTGAACGTTTTACTTTACGGTAATAATTTACTTGTACATGTAGAGCGACAGATTTTGATATTTGCGAAAATTTTTATAAATGAATATGCATCCTACATAAGTAAAATATTAAGCGACAGCAGATTTATACCTTCGCAGATCTGTGGAATTTTAGAAATAATTTTTTTCAAATTAGATAATATTTAACTATTTCATTGTGAATGTATAACATGGGAGTCGAAGACACGACCTACGGCATCGCAATATAACTAATGTACTGAATACGTATTAACGTACTACTTTTGTTTTATTGCGAAACAATATTTGATCGAATGGTCTAAGAACGTTCATACTTAGGACGATTTTACAGAAATGTTACCTTAGCGAACAAAGCAAAGAATAATCAAAATGATTAGAATTAAATAACCACAGCTTTGACATCACCAAACAAGAATTCGTAGTTTACTTTTTTCACTATCATAAATAGGGAATGCAAATTTCTAACTACAAAAAGCTTTTGCGTTATTATATTATGTAAGGTAGTATAATTATTATAAGTTCCTTTATTAAGTGATTATATTATACATAATTATATTATATATTTTGTATTTTGCATGCAGTAGATGTTATATTCCTTTAATGTGATTGTATTGTTAAAGTGCGAGGTACACCAGAAACGAGCTTTGGTAAAACGCAAATTTTTTAATAAATACTTTAAAATAGAATGAGAATATACGCTATAGCAAAAACCACCAGTTTTAATAAAAATTGAGCGCTGCATCGCTAAGAAATGATTTGTTTAGACAATTAACTTAAATTTATTGACATGAAAGACTGCGAAGCGTTGCTAATATTATAGATATTTGTGATCTACACTAATATATTAATGAAATATAAAGATTTTATATAGAATGTATTTTATTTGAATATAATAATTATTACATTAAGTATAGATATGTTTAAATCAAATATTACTATTCCAGAATCGACGTTTATCGAAAGGAAACAGATAAGATGTATGCTCGTGTTGATTTTCAAAAATTAATGTACAAAAAGAAATATGAGGAATATCAACGTAAGGAGGAGATATTAAAAATCCTATTAAACCCTGAAATATATAAAATTATTGAGGATTTGTTGTTGAATGAGGTTGGCGTCTAATATGATGTAATTCATTATAATCGTTAGTTATTTAGAAACATCTATCATTTATTATCTGTTTGATTACAGGAGGGCCCGCAAGTACAAGAATCGGACAATCAAAATGCTAATGTAAGTAAACTATCTTTCTATAGTTCACACAGCCAACACATTCATATGTAGTTTTTATGTGATTATATTAAATTTTTTAAATAATCTCATTCGGTAATATCCTAATTATGAAATTAAATTAAAGCATTTTTCTCCTAATAAAACAATGCTTTAAAACATTTTTTTAATTATTAAATTACAATGTGTCCCGACCAAAGAGGTTTGAATTCAATTTTAGTACACATTATCTGTGGTGAGCGCGCTGCGCGTGCAACTCGCTGTTTCGGAGCCAATAACAGACTCATTATAAATAATTTGTTTCTTTTATATTGCATTTTATTTGATGTAGCTACCTATAGCCATGAGATTAAATAATGTAGTGTATGCAACTGCATATAATTAGGTATTATATGGCAGTTGCTTAAACTACTAATATCTTATTGTATCGTTTAAACTAAATTACTCATCTGTCTTTTTTCAACACATTGTTAAGATTATTTGAAAAAAAGGGGCAAAACAGTACTTAGATTAATGTGTTTAATTTAGTGTTTATGAACATCTATATTTCAGGCTTTCTCGTAAGCTTTCTCGTAAGCACAATGGACTTTCCCGTTTGTCTTAATTCTTAGCATTTACGTAGATATGGTCTCAAAGTAAATAATTCCGTTAAATTTTCTATTGTTTCAATGAATAAATTATAATAATCTTTAATGATTTTTACAGGGCGACTTAACACCTCCAAGAACAGTAGAATCTCTAGGTACATTGATGACTAGGCCTAATGTAAATAATTCAATTCAAAACTCTTTATTATTTGCGGAACATTTACGTGACGGTACATATTTTTTGTATTTGATTTCGATAATTGATTTTGAATTTGTCACCAATTTAACATATGAAATTTATAGGTAACAAAAAACGGGATGCCCCATCTGAATATAACCATAATAACACATACCGTCAAGAAACACAAGTCACATCACATAGCCAAAGTTTATCGGTTCCTACAATATGCAAAACTCAAAGTTCGAATCCTGGTCAAAATGTTCCGACCACAGCTTCACCTTCATACTTCTATTATAATATGCCGCCGCCTATAACCAGACCGTTCATGGCGCCATCGACTTCTATGGCTCCAACTGCAGGTATGTTTTAGTTCTTCGTCTGACAATTTATACTAAACAAAAAAAATACTACTAATTTACGGTTTAAAACTTTGCGAATAATGTTTTCTTTAAACTTGTTATCACTAAGCAAACTTTTTGTAATCTTCAGTGACTTTTTAAAGTTACTTAATTTTATATTTAAGGCTTGTATACTGTTGCTGTTGCGATAAAAAATATTTCTTTCACAGGTTTTTTATCAATCTGTATGTTTTTATTTTTAGCACCGCATAGCGAGATTTTTTTTCTAAAGGTGGAAGTGGCCTTAAGTCTCATGTGTATGGGAACCGATGGCATCAACTACTTACACAAGTAAATAATATAAAATATTGCAATATTAGTCTTAACCATGAGCACTCAGCATCGGAACTTTTCAAATTCCTTAAAGGCTTATCTTACCAATATAAACTTGTGTGATTTCACCCAATCCATTACTATTGCACGCGTTAAATATATTTAACGTTCTTTTTTAAAATTTCAATCAAATCTGCAAGCTAAAAATATATTCGTATTCTTCTGAGAATATTAAGAGATCGTAGAATTGATGCCGGCTCAATTAATACACAGCGAAACGCATACTCTTCATAATATGATGTATCATTAGTGATCCAATCGTGAAATAGTTAAATTCTTCTTCGCTGGCTATAGCTTTATTTTGGTAACGCATAATGGCTCCAATAATCCTACTTAGGCAGGCTAAGACTGAAGCGAGGCGCAAGTTATTTTTGTAAATGCCAATGCGAATCATCAATATATATATAAGGTAATGTAAAATGAGGCCCGTGATGGTCCGAACACTTTTTGTGTAATTTAAGAATGATAATTAACACGTAAGAACCTTGAGGCTTGTGTACGACACGTTCACAAACATGATGGGTACACTGGTGCGATGCCAACAAGGCACCCGTTAATATTCTCTAAGCAACAGCTTAGAGAATATTAACGGGTTCTTGAAATTGTGTTACACCTTAGGTTTGAATTTATAAAGCAAATACTTAAGAAAATTTAAAATAACAATTTTTATCAATACTATAATTACAAAAAATAATCTGTTTCTAATATGCTTTTTTTACCTTGCATAGCGGCATTTCTATAAATCTCTTGACTGTGTGATTTTTAGATTATGCTCTTGCTTGCGAATTGCTATTTTTATCAATTTGCGATCCGTTTTTGCTTTCTTAATAGTATATGTTTACAATACAAATTAATTTATCAAAATTTTACTTGTCACACATATACGAGGGGCGGTCAAAAAGTTCACAGAATGGCGGGGTTGGCGGGGGGGTGAGTTTATTCATCCGGTCTCAGTCTCAGTCCAGTGTTAGTATATATACTAATTTTCACCCCAATCGGGTCATTATCTTTTGAGTTATCAACGAGTAAACAAGTAAATCGGGAAGAGACTAGCCAATATGAAAATTGGACATTGCGCCGTTATAAAATTCCTTACCAAACATGGAAAGACACCTCAAACCATCTTACAAGAGATGTAAGCTGTTTATTGGGACTCCGCTCCTGGTAAAACCATGATTTATAAATAGCGCGCCCTTTTCAAACAAGGAGAGGGGACTCCATCGAAGACGACATCGACCTGGATGGCCAATTGAGGATTCGTCGCCAGAAATAGTCGAAAAAGTGAAATAGGCTGAAGAAAAAACAGCTTGCAACATTCATTAACCTCTTGGTATGAGTAAAGTCTGTGCAAGATGGGTCCCGAGAATGCTTTCTGCGCATCAAAAACGCGAGTGGTTTGAAAGTTGTCGTGAGTTTTTGGACCGCTGTAACTTCCTCCCTTTGCTCTCCGCAAAGGAAGTTATGTCCCGAATTGTAACTGGTAATGAAACTTGGGTTGGTGGTTTTTTTGGTTGATCGATCAAAAGGATATATCGAGGATTATAATCGATTATAAGGAACGTGGTGTCTCCGTGACGGGAGAATACTACGCTACTATATCAATTAAAAGACGTTGTTAAAGAAAATAGGCGAGGATAGCTTACAAAAGGTGTGCTCCTTTTGCACGACAATGCGCCCGTGCACACCAGCCATGTTGCGAAGGCTGCCATTCACCGATGCTGTTTTGAACAATTGCCTCACAAATTATTTGTTCCCAAAAATGAAGCAAAATCCTGAGCGGAAAAAACTTTGCGACGATGTTGAAGTGAAGTCGGCAATTTCGACCTATTTTGACGACCAAGACAAATCTTTTTTTTCGATTTGGCAGATCTGATAAATGTATTAGGGTAAAGGGAGAATATATTGAAAAGGAAAAGTTTCATTTCGTTACCCTTCCCTATCAATCCGCGGACTTTCTGACCGCCCCACGTATATGTATAAAGTGTTACGAGTTTGAGTTTTTGCATTTGGATTTTTTGATCTTAATAGTAGAACTATTTGCGAAATATTTTTAAAAGCTTGTATAGAAGTCAAAGTGAGTGCATGCGTTCATTCATTTTATATTTAAAGAAAAATGCGATTACCCATTAATCATTATCATCAACAATGACGCGAAAGCTTCATGATCCTGATACATATTTATATTTTAGGCACTTCATTGATGGCATACCAACATAATGGAATGCAGGGACCTTCACAGGCTATGACAAAGTCGTCAACGTCTGCTCCGCCTGGACCATCCAAGCCAAACAATCAATCAAATCAAAAATCGGCTCCATACCCTCCGCCGACGTCTTATTATAATTCTTATCAATAGCATTGGGGTAAGTGTGGATATATGTTAAGGTGCTTCTTAATTGGACGAAAAATGAAACTAATGCGTGTCTCCCTTTTATTCTGTTTTAAGGCGGCCCCTAGACCTACAATAGCATTGTACAATATATTTAATTGTGCAATGAGATTGAATTGTGTTTTGAATCCAAACGGTGAATTATATTGCACAATAATAAGAACTGTGCAAATTGTGCAATGTTTTCTGGTTCAGTCGGAGAATAGTTTGATCCCGAGCAACATGTCCACACAAGATTTAGCTGCAGCTGTAGTGTTATTGCTTGTGACTAAGCGTAAACGTAAACGAACACGTCGTTGGTCAAAAGATAGGTACACGAAAAGGCCAAAATACGCTCACGAAAATCTCTTAAAAGACAATTCTCTGTACAATGGGATACATTCGACGAGACGATAAACTCTCTTTCCTTAACTTTCGTATTATCTTTTTCTGCCATTTTTGGGGAGCGTGCACGCGTGTGTCCTCCTTGCCGACGAAACACAGACTAAAAAATATGGTGCAATAAAAATTAAACTCGCTCAAACTGTCGTTCAATCATTGCGCAATCTTCAATATTACCCCTAGACGATTAATTATATTGCACAATTTTCAATATTGCGCAATATAATTGATCGTCTAGGGGCCGCCTAAGATGCAAAAAGTAATATTAATTTTTATTTTGTTTTCAAAGTTATATAAAGGGGTCGCTACCAGCGAATGAAAAATAAATATGTATGTATAAATGATGAATAAAACTGTTTTATGTACATTGAGCTGCAAGTTATAATCACAAGTTTTACAAACTTTGGCACATTGTAGCGACCCCTTACGTATTAAAAAATAAATAAAAAATATAGGTTCGTTATTTTAGTAACGTAGTAATTTTCATATGTTGAAAAATGAGAAGCATCCTATTTATTAGAATTCACGTCTATTGTTTTTTGATTCAGCATATAAAAAAGCTAAACTATTGTTAAATTAATTCAGCTCCACAAAGTTGCAGATTTTAATTGGTCTATGTAAAATAACATTTGTCCTTATTAAATTTTTCAGATAATGTTGGATGCATGGTGGGCGGGAGCTAGCGTCGTTGACAGGTGTAAATATATAAACATTAATTTAAGATTAAACTAATTTTAAGACGATAACTGATTTTGACATGTTTCAATGTGATACAATCTGAATTTTCAAAAGACTATGAGTGTGTTGACGTGTACGGATATAATATATCGACATAAACACTTTTTACCCTATCAAAATCCATGCTGTATAAATATGATTATAAATAATAGTTTTTAAATGAATTTGATTACAGGATATGCTTTTATAATGTGACATTTAGACTAGTAAATTATGTTTACAATATGTTTTTTTTATTAATTACAATTTCATTATTTGAATGTCCTTGTATTTAATTAATTCAATTTCTTTTTAACAATATTAAAGATCGGATATTCCTATTTATTTGTCCATCGTGATGTTTGTCCCGATACTCGTGTATATATGTCACTATACAACATATATTAATTATTGTTCACATTTTGTTTTTGTATCGCTATATAGCGCCTACTTAGCAATAAATATAAATACAAGAGTTAACACAGGAATATCTCAAGTGCCTTGAAACAGCGAAACAAGGTGCAATGTATGCAAAAGCAATTCGTTTTCATTATTCTTCCATAAAATAGGTTTAAGATATATGATTATAAATAAGGAAATCATAATTAAAATTTGCTAGGAATTTGTGATTTAATATAATTATGATCGCCTTAACACGGCCGCATTCCATAGACCACGACATTCAAATATTCATATAGAAGTCACAAGCCCTAGGTAGTATACAATTACTTAATTAAAGTAATAAATAAGAAATAATAAAACTTGTGCCTCCACAATATATTATCCGATTAAAGGATTAAAGAAAAAATAATTTCGGAATGTTAACAGAAGTATTAAGTGTAAATGTATATTTTTTTAATGTATATGGAATCTAGCCACAAATTTTAATTTAATCATAACTACCTAGTCCAGCCATAAGTTCTGTTAAAAATGAACATGCGATTTTTTTTTTCAAATATAGTATTGTAATATTATTTATGGATTACGCACTGTTTCGCCACTGCATGCTTCAAAGATTTTATAAGAGACTTAATGTCGCCGTGTCGTTTAGCCATGTCCTATTAAACTTACCATAATTTGAAGTCTAAAGGGTTGAGATCTGGGCTAGGTAGAGGGCCAGTCTTCAGCTCGGATAAAGTTCGGAATGTTGGATTCAAGCCAGGCTTGGGTAGTTGGTGTCTTGTGACCAGGTGCAGATTCCTGGAAATTCCACGGTATATTTTTAAAAAGTGTATTGCTGAGAGGTTACAAAACATATCCAAGACTGTATCTTGATACACTTTGGCTGAAGTTATCACTCCTTTTTCACAAAAGTGTGACTCCTTGATAAGACACGCCCCACCAGACCATCACTGGCGCAGAATGATGACCACGTTGTACCTTTCAGACTTTATCATTTTACTTGTTATAGCATTCTTCAATCATGAAAATTTTTTCATCAATAAAGAGGATATTTCACCTGCGTATCGCGACTAATATGTGAAATGGCGCAAAATTTAAAAACGTTTTTAACTAATATAGGACGTGTTCCAAATTCAAAATAATTAAAGAGATGAAAAGTATCTTACTTAATGTCCTATAACCCCTAGTTGGGGCAGAGGGCGTCCACAGTGAGTCTCCATAGCGTTCGGTCTTGAGCCTCGTATTTTACCTCGCTCCAACAACCGTCGAGATCTCCGTCGAGAACAACCAGGAAAAGTAGTGGCGAGAGTAAGCAGCCTTGACGGACGCCCGCGTGCACTTGAGGCCATCGTGAGTCACTCTACAAGAATAGTTCCGATAGCTTTACTAGGTCAATTATCTTTGGCGGGGCACCAATGTTAGAGAGGCGCGACCATATGCTGCTCCAACTCAGCGTATCGAAAGCTTATTCGAAGTCAACAAAGGTAAGATAAATTTCCCTCTGCCATTCTGATGCCTGTTCGAGAATGATACGTAGAGTATTAATTTGGTCAGTACACGAGCGATTAGGCTGGAAGCCAGCTTGCTCAGCGGCTCCAGACAAAATGTCCAAGATAATTCTGCAGAAAACCTTGGAAAGGGCCGAGAGCAAGGTGAACTCTCCAATTGCTGCATTCGCTCAGATCATCTTTTTTGGGCACAGTTATAATATAAGGTCCCTGTTCCAGTCCTCCGGAAGCTTCTCGCTGGTCCAGATTTTGCAATCAAAGGTGTCAGCGTGTCGATGGTGGTAGCCAAGTCCGCTTTTAACATTTCTGCAGCCACTCTTAAGACCGCTCTCGCTACTTCATCAAGTGTAGGTGGTTCGACGTCGATGTTAAGTAGCCTGGGTGGTGGAGATGTATCTTGCGCACCTGGCGTAGACAATGCTGAGGGACGAAAGGTTTCCTCAAAGTGCTCACGCCAGCGTCGTAGTTGCCCTTCTGATGTTACGATAAGCTGACCATCTTTTGATTTTAGAGGGTTCTTACGCTGACTTCTCTTCCCTGCCAAGATTTTAGTCGCTTTATATAGTTCTGTCATGTTGCCGGTGTTAGCGGCAGTTTTAGCGTGGTCAGCAATACCGTCAACCCACACCCTTCTGTCATTTCGCGAGCTGCGATAGATTTTTTTACGAATCGAGGACATCCAATTCTCGCGCGAGTGCTTAATGTGACCTAAGACGAATGAGCTGGTCTCTGTGTAGGCCACTTTGATGCATTTCCACTCTTCGTCTATTGAGTCATCGTCAGGTGAAGCGGTTACGAAGTTCAAGCCTGAACTTATTCATAGTTTCAGGGTCTCGCAGTTTAGTGACGTCAAACCTTCTTCCAGCCCTACCAGGAGCACCGGCCGGTCGCGCAACCGCAACCTTGAGTCGCATTTTGGCAACAACCAGATGGTGGTCGCTGTCAATATCAGCGCCTCTTCGGTTTCGGACATCAAGGAGCGACGAGCGCCAGTTCGAACTGATAGCAAAGTGGTCAATTTTGTTTTTTGTGAAGCCATCAGGGTAGTTCCATGTGTACTTATGTACATCTCTATGAATGAAAAGTGTCCCACCGATGGTCAGGTCATGGTGTTATCAAAACTCTATAAACCGTTCACCATTCTCGTTTCGTGCTCCAAGTCCGTGTTTGCCCATGTTACGCTCACAGTTGCTGTTTTCGCTTCCAACCTTTGCGTTAAGGTCCCCCATGACGATCACAATGTCTTGTTTCTTAATACCTTTAAGTGTGGCATTTAGAGTGTTGTAAAAGTCATCCTTGGTGTCTTCCGTAGACGTGTTGGTGGGAGCGTAACACTGCACAATGGAGATCTTCCGGGCTCTTGAGCTGAAACGGGCCCAAATGATTCGATCTGAGATCGGTTTCCAGTCCAAAAGACTTCTCTTTGCGGAGTTAGAGAGGAGGAGAGCGACGCCATATTCAAGGTCGTCATCCTCATTTTCCTTCCCGGAGTATAGAAGAGTTAGGACTTTGGACGTTCTCAGTTCGCCGAAACCATTTCCACGCACTTCGCTTAAGCCCAGTATTTGCAGATTGTATCTAATCATTTCTGCTTCTGCTAGTCGAGTGTCGTTGCTAAGCATCAGTCGATCCTCAGCTAAAATGCTGCTCTAGGTAGTGGGCACGAGAAAGCGTGGCTGCAGCAGGTCCCAGGGTGGACGACTAGGACGTGGTTGACTCGGACTGGCCGGGGTTCTGCTTACACTAGTGTTCCACTACAAAACACAGCAGATGGTTGTATTTGAGTTTTTCTAGGAAATTCTGACCTCACTCCATCAGCGATTCCCACCAACACCATCCCCAACTTCCTACCCCTAAATAATATAGGACGTGTGCCAAATTTAAAATAATTAAAGAGATGAAAAGTATGTATGTAACAGTATTTATGGCCAGACTAGTTATAATATAAGAACTAGTCACATCGTTTTAGTATGGTAGTGTTCACTTTATATTTAAAACTTCATTTACAATGGGCTAATTTCATTGCTATTTATGTATACAGTGTTATCAAATCAATTTAACAAAATTATCCAAAATGTGTTTTTGATTGTTGAAGATCATTTGACTTGTGTCTTGGTAAAACATGAAAAGTCAGATATTTTAATAAATTCTAATATCACCGTTATTGTTAACTTTGTGTAAATATAATATTACGACTAAGTATACGTAATGTAAATAAAAGGTAAATGTAATTTTGTATGACTTGAGAAATTAGTAGTAGTAATTACCGGGTGTAAATAGTTGTCCAACAAAATAGTTTACGGTTTTCTTTTAATTTCCATCGCTTCTTTTTAAAACAGAAATACTTTTCTAGGTAATTAAACCGGGAATTAAATAAAAATATGGAAGAAATTCTTTGTTACTTACGGTTAAAGTAGTTTTTACGATTTACACCCGGTATATGAGAAATTCGCATGTTAATAAAATATTTTGTTTAGGCTGGTAATTTCGTTTCTTTCTCTTAATTATCATATATTCGCGCCAGAATTAAGCAAGTAGTTTCCTAGGGTGCGATTAAAAAACGCGACTTAGAGAGAACTATTATTCCCGTATGTCAAAATATAATAAATTTTTGACGTATGCGAGTGACGCTTGGCGTTTTATAGCCCTGTTTCTGAATCTTACATCTAGTAAAACGACCATAACAATACTATAAATAGTAATTATGGTCGTTGCTCGTTATTTTCTAGACGCTACTTGCCTAATATAAAAGAGGATTTGCTACTTGCTTATTATTAGAAGTCCTTTCCAATGATTTTATGCTATATGTATTAAAATAAAACAAAGCTAAAAGCAACAACTCTTGTAGTAAAGTGGCTAATCTGAGCCAATAGTTGAAATTAATGTTGATATAGTACTTTTGGTGTAAATATAAAGTAACCTTATTGATGAGTGCAGCCTTGCTATTCTGTAACTTACTCTTACAGCGGATTTTGCCCGCAAATCATTCGTGAAAGTGTCATGTTACAATTTGGTATTCTGATAAACAATAACCGCGACAGAAGCGCCGCTCAATGAGATTGTTTACATTTGTAACTAAAATTTGACACGCTTAAAAATTGGTATTTGGCATTCTGATAATACCATAAAGAAGATTTTTTACGGCAAGTTAAACGTTCCTCTTTCCTCGGTGAAATCGTGATTTACCAGTTAGTTAGCCATTTTTAGCATAGTTAAAAGTTGTTTTATGTGAGAATGTATATGTATCTTGGGGTAAGTTTATAAAATAATGTTTATAAATAAATACAGCATTTTTTACGAAAAAATTATATCTTTAAGCATTAGGCTTAGTAAAATAGAACTTTGTTATTGTTGCAGAAGGCCCGTTTCCAATTTAAACCTCTATATCAGGAAATAAATAAATAATCATTATTTCTTCTCTCACATATACATATGTCACCGTAAAATTGTAAACACCGTTAGATTGTAATCTATCTCGCGAGATTGTAAACTGTCGAAAGATTGTGAACCTCAACGAACTGCTTACAATTTAACGTATTACTATTCGGTAGATTGTAATCTATCGAAGTGAAACGGCCATTTTCTACTTTTCTATTGGTTATAAGAGATGTGACATTCTCGTTTTCTATTAGTTATAAGTAATGTGACATTCTCGGTAAATTAATCGAATCGATTATTTCCTCATTTGTTAATTTTAAAGTTGAACCTAATCGAGTCGATTATTTCCTCATTTTTTAATTTTAAAGTTAAACCTAATTTAACTATTACTTGTCAAATGTACATACATTACATTAACTTCATGTTTCAATTAGTGTAGGGTTCCGAAAATTTTTAAATTATTCAAAAATAATCTATTTTTTAAACGTGAAAATCGATTTTTGTATTCGATTAGGTTCAACTTTAAAATTAACAAATGAGGAAATAATCGATGCGATTAATTTACCGAGAATGTCACATCACTTATAACCAATAGAAAACGAGAATGTCACATCTCTTATAACCAATAGAAAAGTAGAAAATGGCCGTTTCACAATTTGACGTATTCACTTCGATAGATTACAATCTACCGAATACTAATACGTTAAATTGTAAGCAGTACGCTGAGGTTCACAATCTTTCGACAGTTTATAATCTCGCGAGATAGATTACAATCTAACGGTTTTTACAATTTTACGTTAACACATACAAGGTTATTATGATTAAACTAAGATCATAACATTTGGAAGTGTATGTGAGAGACTGGTCTCTGTAACAGGAGACCTGAGTGACAGCCTCTCCACCACCGGACCGGAACACGTACAATCAGGTCATTGTCATAAGATACAATAGAAGAAAATAAGTAAGTGCAAAAAGTAAACATTGCAAACGGAGTCGTAAACTTAAATTTGGTGTGTGTGTTTGTGTGTGTGCGCGCGCGCGTGTGTGTTTGTGTGTACGTGCGTGTGTATGTGTGGGCGAGTGGGTGTGTTACAGAGTAACATTTATTAAATCTTCTGTTTCATCATAACTCAACATCTTCAGCCAAGTAGTAACCGTTTTTTTACATTCATATTTAGATAGTGGGTAAATGTTATTTTTTTCATTTAATTTATTATATAGGTAACAGCCTAGGAAACCAAAGAATCTTTGCGTGAAAGAAGTTCGCTTTCCCTCTTACTCTTATTTTTAATTCTTCCCTGGACAAAGGAATATTTCCTACTATTTGGAAAGAAGCACGTATTATCCCAGTATATAAGAAGGGTGAAAGGGAAAGCGTAAAAAACTACCGACCTATCTCGATTCTGAGCACGTTTTCAAAATTGTTTGAGTCAGTTATATGTGAAATTCTCACTTATCACGTTAAACCTATGATAAGTGTGAGACAGCATGGTTTCCAGCGCGGCAGATCTGTGTCTACGAACCTGGTTCCTTATGTCACAACTCTCATGGAGCATGTTGATAAGCGGATACAAGTAGATGCGATATATACTGATTTTAGTAGCGCCTTTGACAAAGTTTGTCACCATATATTATTAAAAAAATTAATTACATTTGGTGTTTGCGGATCCTTACATTCTTGGTTTGCATCGTACCTTAAATTCAGATCATCAACAGTGGTGACAAATGGTTATGCATCAAAACCGTATGTGGCAACTTCAGGCGTGCCTCAGGGCTCTCACCTCGGGCCAATTTTATTTATTTTATTTATAAATGATATAGTAGATCATGTTCATTATAGTGAATGTTCATTGTTTGCCGATGACATGAAATTGTTTAAGACAATAACTTCAACGAATGATATTGCTCTATTGCAAAAGGATTTACTTGCCATACACACTTGGTGTAAAAATAACCTCATGATTTTAAATGCTGGTAAATGCTTTTATATAAAATTTACTAGGAATAAAAACTTATTCCAATCTTCTTACTCAATTAATGGAGTTGCTCTTGAGGAGGTTGATCGTATACGAGACCTTGGTGTGACGCTGGATAGTGCTCTCAGTTTTACTCTTCACCACGAAATAATTATAGCGAAATCATTTCAGATGCTCGGTTTCATTAGGCGTAATACCACTGACTTTAAGAATGTTAAAACTCTTATTACTCTGTACAATGCATTGGTGCGCAGCCACCTTGAGTACGCTAGTGTTGTGTGGAATCCCACATACCAAACACACAAGTATGCACTAGAACGTCCTCAAAGAACATTCACACGGTTCCTGGCGTACAAAACCCCTAAATTTTGCTACAGAAGGGATTATGTTGATCGATTACAGAAGTTCAATTTGCAAACTCTCGAGGATCGTCGTATGATTGTGGACCTGGTGTTTTTGTACAAGTTGATGCACGGCACGATTATTTGTCCAGATATTTTAAAAAAGATTTACTTCGTAGTGCCTAGAATCAACGCAAGAAGAAGACAGACTGATACTTTTGTCGTTCCACAGTCCTTAACCAATCTAGGTAAACATGCGCCCCTCAGTAGAATGCTTAGGAATTTTAACCAATGTAGTTGTAGACATAGTCTTGACGTATTATGACTCACTTCCTAGTTTTAAGAAGAAAATTCAGTCATCTCAGCCATAAGTCATGTAATATTTACCACGTTTCAATTTATCTATGTTTAAAGATACAAATACTTAAGTAAACTCTGTCCGCTTTCATTTATTAGAGTCAATGTTGTGTACACCTATTATTAGATTGCATGCTAGAATAAAACCCAATATTGTTAATTAGAAAATATATACATGTAATCTGTTGGTGTTCCTTAATAAATAAATAAAATAAATAAAAATAAATAAAATAAGTTGTCCATTGTGTAATATGTCGTATTACACAATGGACAACTTCTTTATATAGGTATATATTTATTTATTTGTTCAGATAAAATAATCCATCATTATGTTAGTATAAACTTACGGACTAGTGTTAGTATATTATTATTAAAAAGCTGAACATAAAAACCCATGAAACATTCTATGCATACACTCGTCGACCTGAACCGACAAGTGTACGCACAAAATGCTTCATGATAGGCGAAGACAGGTTATCTGCCACAGTCTTCAAAATGCTGTTCCTACAGCCTCGTACCCGGCTCAACAGAGAT